ATTATTTTCAGACTCAAATGTTCCAATAACAAATGTGAAAGTGTTCAAATCCATTAATAGAAATACGTACTGCCTCCAACGCGTTTTTCTCATTTACAACAGCATACTATAATAGCATACATAGCATACTATAATAATATTTTGATTCGGAATATATTTACGATTTTATTGCTATATATCCAAGGCAACAGCAAAGTTAACGTATTCAAAGTTAACGTACGTTCTTATTTCTAAATCAAAATGGAATAATATAGCTCATGAATTTCTCCGTCACTGAAATGCTCCTTTTGTGTTTATTTATGTCATCATTCCATTATGACTGCAGCTGAGAAATCCTCATTTGCCCAATTACACCATCCACGTATTGTTGGCCAGTGGCGCAACGGAGCGTTACTCGGGCGTAGTTACGACCATCAGTTTTTGTCTTGGTGCAACGGGCGTAAGCAGGGAGAGTAAACCTGGCGCACGGACGCCAGGCGTTGCGGTTTACGACAGTCGTAGCCGAGTAAATTTACGCTCTGTTGATGCAACCGGGACCAGTCTTGTTTATGATATATAAAAATAATTGATGGATTTGTTTTCTAAAAGAGACTAATGCGCATTGTATGGCTTTCATAATATTGCTGGGGTCCCTCACCCTTGCGCTCGAGTGTGTGTCTCTTTCTCCTGAATAATTCAAGCAAGTAAACCATGTTGTATTTTCTCTTCATTTTGCTGTTACACCCGAATTTCAATACAAAAAGCGGAGGTTACATATATGATGACTTGGCCACAAACGTTTCGCTACTACAAAATAAAGTCGACGCCAGATTTTGAGGCACCGGCGTGCATAAAAAGCTTTAAACACCTTTGATGTGAGCAATGGTGTATCTAGGAGGTGACATGGAAGGTGTAGGGCACATGCCCAGAACGCCACTTGAAGGGAGTGAAATTTTGTGATGAAGTTATCGTGGTATTGAATGTCAAGCGTTGAGGCAGGGGGCGGACTGGGACGAGATTTAAGAGCTTGTCAGAGTCCGTTCGTTCAAAAATTATCTGAAATGGATCACTGAAAGTGGAGGGGGGCAATATAGCACAAAGGACTTCTCACCCAGTTCTTAGACAAATAAAACTAAACGTTTTGTTTGTCTAAAGGCCGAATCCACCCATGGTACAGTTGCTCTAAATTTGAAGCACTACACAAGATTTATTTATCTATTTTTTTTGCGCATACATGTTTGTTTGGTTGTGGTTCGATAAAGTCAGTGACAAATACACAAAGGTTAGAATATTTTTTGCATAGAGACAATACTATGAATTGTGCGTCTACAAAGTTTTTTCTTTATATAAACATCTATACACGATACATTTCTATCTAGAGCATTGATATTTACAAATCCGGCTTACGTTTTTGTCTATCACTACCGGTATATGTGCATTCCACTCGAAAACGCCAAAAGTTTCTAATACAAATCCCACCTTTAAAGTAAAACGACATTAAAGCATTTTCTTAAAGTCAGTGCAAACAATATCAACATAAGGGTTGGTGCAAGTGTGAATGCTTTACTGGTTGTACACGTCTGTTCTTCTGAAGACATCCTGATTCGGCCTTCTAACCCTTGATATATCGGAGCGTATTTTTTGATAAAGTCCATTATAACATCTGAATCTAGACTGTCTGGAATCGTAAATTCAAAGAATAGCAAAATTAGAAAAACGAGAAATGGATTAGCAAACATTCATTTAACAGTTCTCGAAGCTGTGAAAAATCGTTTGTCAGTCACCCTATATACAGTGGTTTCTCGCTGTACATCCTTCGTACCGGGGGTACTCTTGCTCTAGTAATATGCACAAACGAAGTCTGCGCAATGCAGGGTTTTAAATACCGCTATAATTAGGATAAAAGCCAGCAGGTTGACAATGACAACTCATTCCTGTGAAAAACCTACTAATTAATTGGTATTTTAAATTGAAATCAAAACCTTCATTAAACAAGAATTATTAGTATAAAATATTTTAACTGGTATTTTCCTTTTCTTTTCTTGCTTTAAACCGAAGACATACGCAGGACCTACCTATTCCGTACGGATATAAAATGTTCTCTTTCAAAACGTCATATGCATCTCCTCCCCCCATTAAAAAAGTGCTGGTGACAACATCGTATGATTTTGTCTTAACAAGGGGCTGGAACTCGGGGACTGTACAGTCAGCGCACCTGACGTTAATGCTGACCACTCGACGGCCCACTGGCTTAGACAGGTCATACACAACTCGAAGACCTGAAGATAAATACATATGTAATGACTCTAAAACTTTAAAGTAAAGATAAAGTTATTACATTTATGACACCGGTGGCCGATCCAGAAGTTGACAATTTGACAATTGGCAATAGTCTATGGAAAATGCGCTAGTGACAGCATCTTTGTTTTTGCCCCTAATACGTCATTTGTTGATAATTTTTTGCACGCTGTATTAGGTATGCCCTTATACCAGCACACTTATTTTGCCATGGTCTAAAGCATGTTATATAGGCATACCATGAATATGTTTGTCTCTACAGAAGCGATTGTCCATTTAACTATGAGACGTCTTACCTGAGACCTGTAAGAAACGACCGCTTCTCTTCTCGTATTCGGAAACAGAATGTTCCATGACTTCCCAAAGCGTACTTCCACTTATCCTGACGATGTCTACACCATTCCCGAACGGTGCGGCACTCAGTACGTCTGACACGTAAATGTCACCTGGCGAATAAAAAATTAATCATTTTGTGTTGATATTCATAATAGTTATAATAAAATGGCGAACCAATTCATCATAAAATGAATAATCGTTGCAATAATTTTCACGAGCACTGTTTACTATTTGCTATATTACCACAAAGACAAATTCTGGTACATTTTGTGTGGGAGAGAGATTGTAAGAGAGATATCATAAATATTCATAAAAATTTATACGCAAGTATAATATTGTTAGACGAGATTCATGTCTGTCAATGAATCGATGGATAAACTAAATAAAACTGCCAATGTAAAAAAAAAACAAAAAACAAACACAATAAACGAACATCACGTGATCGTAGAAGCAATTAAGTGAGGTGCAAATGCACATTTTGCAACCGGTTACTAAATTAGTTCGGTCGTAAAAAAAAACGGTTCTGAAGAGGATGATGGGAGTGGTTAGTAATACCAATATCGATTGGTGCTCGTATCCCGCCGCTGTTCCACAGGCCAATGGAGGCATTAGTCCATCTCGTTCCATCAGTGGGTTTCAAGTAGATATCAACTAAAGCGTCTGCTATCAGATTACCTGGGAAAGGTGAAGAAAAATGATGCATATCTCTATTTTGTTCGACTATTTTTTATCCTGAAATGGTAGAGAATTTAACAGCCGAACGAAGAAACTTTTCATGATAAACATGAGACTTCATGAGGTTGTCCAGACTCAACCGAAATTAAAAATTAGTGACAATTTAAAAGTTCTTCAGTCCCAATCTGCCCAAGCAACGCTGAATATGAAAAAAAAATTAGCAATTTGATATTCAGTATGCTTAATAGTTACAAAATATTTTTGATGTTGTTTTATATTTTTGATATTTTAAAGAAGGAATATAATACATGTTTACCAAAAACACATTCAGCCAGGCGGCATTTCGCATTATCCATGAAGACCAGACTGTAGCCTATCTTTTGTGAACCATAAGCCGTTACTCGTTGTTGCCACGGCTGCATCTCTGTTAGTGTAGCATTATCTAAAATGAGAAATAAAAATTTCTAATATATCGCAACAAAACTCCGTAGTAATGCGTTTTCATGGTGGAATCAGTTATTTCCCCATTTGAACAAGAGTATATTATTAATATCAAAGGTATCGTTGTTTTTTTTTTGTTTTTGTTTTTGTTTTTTTGTCCTTAAGGTTCACGAGGAGATGCATTATTAAGCGTGTGTCTAAGCTTAAAAACCAAGTGAAAATGCAAACAAGAATTGCTTTCAAGCTCTCATTCAGTTTGAACCATGAGGAAACAAAAAGCGTCTGAAAAACCCTTACAAAGGATTTGGAGTGCGTACATGTAACTCGCAGAATTGACGGATCAGGATAATCGATGTGAACGCCTCAGAAATCCTTAAGTTATATTTTTCCTGCAAATATCAGATATGCGGTGGATTTAAATGTCCGTCACGTTTACAATTTTACAGAAAAGTATATAATGTTACATTTTCCTTAGACCTCGAAAAATAATAACTACAAACAGTTTAATATTAGGTACAGAATTTCCCAAAGTACTTAACATTTCTTGACACCAACGATGCGATCATTGCTTTTACCTTCCGTAATGTTTTTATCCAGTAGAATAGGGTTACCACTCCATGATGTCACAATTCCCGCTGCATCGAATGTTACACGTAAGTGCCCCAAATATTTAGCCATCCAAAAGTCAGAAACCAATAACACTTTGCCACCAGACGCCTGGGTTATAACGGTTGGATACTCGCCTTCGGGGATTTCTTTATCTGGTGGGGTACCTGTGCACAAATCATTAGATATTTTTACACTAGTATTCAGCGGCGGATTTAGGCCGTCTTCTGGGTCTTCCAGAAGACGGTCAGATTTTCAAGTTTACATTGACGGGTATCCAATTTTTAATGTTGGAAGACGGTCAAAATTGGAGGATGAATCAACAAAGATAATTTGGAAGACTGTCAGTATATAGCTCTGGATCCGCCCCTGGTATTGAAGTGTCTATTGAGAGAGAGAGAGAGAGAGAGAGAGAGAAACAGAGATTAACTTTTATCACCGAAAGATACCGTAACTGATATTTTGCGTTGAATTGGGTTCTTTTTGAGAGGGATAGAGAGAGGCATTTACTTACCGGTATAAAGAAATGTGTTAGTGTGCCCGCCAACGATTATATCCACTCCTGACACTTGTTCAGCAATCTTTTTATCCACAGAAAACCCAGAATGTCCCAATACAATGATCTTATTGATACCCTGTGACGTTAACCTTTCGACCTCTGCTTGGACGGCCGAAACCTCGTCGGTGAAAATCAAGTTGCCTGTAAAAACATAACATAAGAATAACATAAGAAAATTGTCAAATGCTGAAATTAACAAGTCTCTTCTTTATCTTGAAATTGCTTTTTAAATCCAGCATTCAAAACTGAGGCCAATTTAACGCGTCACATCTCTCACTGTTTTCACTTTGTGTGTGCGCCCACACATCAGCAGGACTGATTGTAGAGTGAAAATTAATATTAAGATTTGCAGGACAACTTATCAATAGATAGATACTTTAATACTTATGTATACATAATAGTAGGCTAAATAACACAATGTAATAGTGTAATAATAATAGTAGTAATTAAGTGACACTTTTAAGTCACTTTACGGACAGGTAAAGTGCTCATTTTCTTATTTGAGTAAGGAGGGTTTTACCTGGGCTTGATATGGTCGGTGTGGCCCTATATGTGCAACCGACAACCCCTATCTTCTCTCCGGCCACATCTAATACTGTTGACTTGTTGAACAGTCCTTGTATTTCTGGAACATTACTGGCGTTGATATTGGCGCTTATTACAGGGAATGTGACGTTTTGAAGAAAAGGAAGAAGGCCGCTAACCTTATTATCAAACTCGTGATTGCCTAATACCTGAAAGAAAGTAAAACATTTCTTAATCATAGTTAGTTTTTATAATATTCAGTAAAATTTAGACATACTCATCAGATCGAATTTATCTGTTAATCTCATTCTTTCCACCGTTTTGACTGAGCAGTGATTTCTAACCCACAGTGCCGCCCACCTTTACATAATGGTGGTCACTTCATTCAGAAGCCAAGGCATTACGCCTACTTTACTGGAGTTAAACTGTAAGTGCTCATTCCTATAGAAGCTATCGTTCTACGTAGATCGATCCAACTTTAAGGGGACTGTCGCTGAATTCAATCTGTTGAACAGGTAAACACGCCTCCTCTTGTTTCCGACGTAATCGTATAATCAATCATCAGCTTTTCTTTATTCTACGCCAGAAGAAAGCGTGTTATTCTGTTTAATATCTCCCTGCAACTAATTATTTAATAATCATCTAATGATTTAATGATTAAAACAACTGAAACTACCTCTAAAATATAAAATGACGGCGTTTATATTTCGCATTGATGAGGATAAGCATAGACACCCCAAAGCGTCATTTTAAAACGTATCTATTTCGAGACTTCATCCCTGAACAACATCTTATCACGAAAATTGGCATAGGTGACAACAAATGTAGGGGCTTCAATCCCGTACCGTCATTTTAGTTTAAAGGTTTTGTCGTGGAGTTATAACCCCCTCATTACAATTCATCATTGAACAAAGGGGTTTTTTGCCTTATTTACGATAAAACCTGAACTAAGGCTTTTACGAAAATTCGCCGGCAGGGCTTTGAAGTACTCAATGGTGTTTTGTCATTAAATTGACTCTAAAACGGTGTTCATGGGTGCTCAGGTAAAGGAGAGATTTGGGAAACCTTTATTGCTTTTTTTTTTGCCCGGAAATGGCAATTATGACGTCATCGGTAAGATCACATTTGTGTAAATGCTAAGAAATATACTAACTGAAAATTAAAGATTTATCGATTATCCCCCCCCCCCAAAAAAAAAAAAAAACGAATAAGGCAGTAGATAAGGAGTTTGGGGGCTAATCCTGACAGTACCCTTCATGTCAGAGTCGCTGTGTTGGCTGTCTCAGTTTAATATATATTTATATAAAGTAGATGAACGTCCAATGTTTTATCATAATTCATCTAGCACGGCCCTACACTGACCCTAGATGTGTATTCAAATAACATGCAATTTGACTAAGATCTTCTTGTTGAGCCTGGATTAATGAAACCCCTACCAGGCCCGCGGAAAATATGTGTACTCTTCTCTATCACAGAAAACATAATGAACGTCTATGCAGGAAGGACGACGTGGGCGACCCACGCGAAACATCTCCTTTTCCAGTATGGTTTCAGCTACATGTATGCCTGGATCGTGGATGAGTTAGGAGATGCTACAGAGTTTATGAACCAATTCACGCACGAGTGACAGACTGTGCATTACAAAAGTCATTTGCTGATATAAGCTCATCGTCAAAGTGCTCATTATACAAACAGTACAAAACTGTTTTAAATCCAGAAAGATATTTGTCATTACCACTGTCTTATACACAGAAACGTACTTTATCAAAATTTCCCTGCTCAAGCAACAGTTTCATGATTGAAAAAGGACGCCATATGAATATAGAAAAAGACCGTAGATTTTGCCCATATTATTTGACTCAGAAAGTTTATACTTTAGAAAACGAGGTACACTTTCTACTACTGTGTCCGTTGTATGATTTGGGGGAGAGATATTTCATAACAAAATGGACAAAACATAGTAAAAATGAACGATTATTTACTTTGATTATGTCTGACATTAGTAAGATGGCATATTCTCATTAGCAAGTTTTTAGTGCATTTGCATTGAGAGAAAAGATTTGTTGCTATTGAAGTGAGTTTAATTCACAGTGTTGATTAAGAACATGACTATTATAGCGTTTACAATCATTTAAAATCTTTAAAAAGAGGACTATTATGGATATATGTTCATATTTATTCAGTGCACATAATTCATTACTACTAGTGGAAAATTATGGTGAAGTTGCACGTATTTTGGGTCGGAGGCCTTAAATTACGGAATAAAGATCAATCAATCAATTTATCTAAAGACATATCTGTGAATACCTAGTGAAAAAAGCAATCGACTGTGGCCTTGGTAGAAGGTAAGATTAATGTAACCTCCCATCACGGCAGGTTAATTAATCATCAAATTCCACGAAAGTTTGGTTTATTTTCATTTAAACATTTTCACTTGTACTCGATGTCTGGGTGTTTTAGTTGACCTGTGATAGAGAAGCGGGTATTGTTAAACTCCTCATTTATCACTCATCAAAATTTTATATTTAATTTTTTTTATCGATCATTTTTCATTTATTTTTACACCCCATCTGCGTACATTTATATCGAACATTTTAAAATGTTTACCCCCCCCTCCCCCCAATCTTCGCATCTTTGCTGCCAAATAAGTCTCCAAAGATTTACTCTCTACCAGGGCCAAAGATGGATTTTTCACTAGATGTTCACAGATAAATTAGACAGTCATTTTGTTCTCTCGCGATAGAGAATAGTACACATATATTTTCCGAGGGCCTGGTATAGGGTATCCATTCACTGACAAAGACTACGCATCATAACGCTGCCGTGGAATCTGTGGTCTTTTCGCATCGAGCGGTACAGTTTTCTGTATCAGACCACTTTGAGACATCGACAATATGATTGCCTGGCTAGTACATAAGAAAGTCGCCTAAACAGAGCCCCGTCCCCGACAAAACCAATAAAAAATGGAATAATAGTGATTAGTGTATAAGGGCTTGTGAAAGAGAGTACAACCCCTCGTGGCATAATCATATGTCAGAATAGCACTTGTGAATGGTAGTCCTAGGAATGCAGGACCGGGGGCCTATATGACTAGAACAGGTTAGATTAGTCGGAGTATTTGTGTTAGAGTATGGGGCGAACGTCACCTGTACAAATCAATGTGGAACGGACTACAGTTCCTAGCAGACTACCATTTCTATCACACCTGTCAAATACAGGCAGTGTTGAAATATATCGCTAGCGGTCTCTTTTGAGAAGACCTACAGGGTACTTACACTAGATGGGGCGTAACTCGCTTTCACAAGTTTGCTTGCTACTGTTAGGTGGAAATTCTGACATAAGCATGCGCACCATGACACAATACAAATATGTCGAACAACTAGCATAGCGCAGTGAGTGGGTCGTGCCGAATGCGGGAGCTCCGTCGTTCATAATAGCCAGGCTATTAATAAGCTGCCAATCTCTAAAAACAGAACGTTAAAGATGTAACGCTACGCAATGAACTTTACTGCAGACCTCTGAAAAACAAAACGTGGTCTGTTACTGGCTGTTTCGCTAACTAGAAAAGTCAAGAAGTATATAGATGACAAACTTACGAACGAACCTCTGTATGAATGAGATAACGCAAAAGTATTTCACATTAACCGAACTTAAGTTCCGCTTGCTGACACAAGATGACGAAAACGTTATGAAATAGCGACCACGAAAAGCTGTTTTATTAACGTAAGAATATTACTGGCGCGTGACCTTGATTACAATCAGTTTGGAATATTAAGGAGCTGTCAAAACAGCGTCAATGAAAAGGTGAGTGTTTGCTCGGACTCTCAGGAGCGACATGCACAAGGGAAGAAACCGCGTTGCCGGTCCTTTCATTTTATTTGTGTTAGAACGAACTTGCGGCTAATTTGCATACATTAGTAATACATAAGTAGTTCAGGTCCGTAGCCAGCAATTTCAAAGGGGGGGTTCTTTTTCTGAAAAAGTGGACCTTTTACCATATAATGCCTCATGTACCTAGGTCAAATTTTACCCAGAGTGGCCCCTTTTCCAGCAAAAAGGGGGGTTCTTTCGAACCCCCCGAACCCCCCCTGGCTACGGGCCTGTAGTTAAAGGTGATAGATAAACAAAGTTGAGTAATAGTAGTAGGTCACACTGGAGAAAGCAAGTTAGAAGTTGTTCACTTTTTATTGGTTACCAAGCTGTTAAGTACATCAACATCAACCAGCTCACCGCCCGAGAAGCTTCACCTGACCTAGGTACTTTGTAAGAAATATTAAACCCTCTAGCAGGGACACAAATTGGTTTTCACTGCATTCTTACAGATGTCTCTCTAGCTTATTCGTGGCACATTTCTCAAAAGTGCAAATAGTTAATCTGCGGCCCTGGTAAGAAGCAGAAACAGTATATACCCATACTAACCATAGCATCGTACTTCAGTTTATTCATGAAGTATGAAGTCGCCATCCCCTTGTAGATAGTGAACCACAATGTGCCTTGGAACTGATCGCCAGCGTCCAATAACACCACGTTCTGTTCAGCGTTACGAATTTCCTCGATTTTAGTGTATCTTCGTGCCACTCCCCCGAAACATTCCCCCGCTTCTGCCTCTGTTATCGAGCACCTGCCTCCATACTTGTCAAATTGTTCAAACCGTGCATGAACATCGTTGGTGTGTAAAATAGTCAAATTAAATCCATAGCTCAGAGCGAAACAGGTAAAGTAGAAACCGATTTTGACGAGCGTCTCCATCTTTCCGTCTCTCAGTATACTAACTAAGGCGAGTGTGCTTTGTTTGGTCACGGTTTCACTTAATATGCTAACCCTGCCTCGAGTTCAAATAAGCTACCCGCATGACTCTACACACTCCCTCTACACCGCCTCTTCCGATGTCACCGCGTCGTGATTAATCTACAGTTTCCCCCTGAAACTGTCACGTATCAAAATTGCATAACAAAAGAAATACGTAACATGTACGGCTAATTAAAGTTGGGGTCTTTAAAAAATCACTGTGGTAACACAAAGGACAGTGAAACAATTTGCATTTTCAGACCTTGAAGCAAAATTAGTGCTCGACTAGGAAAGAAAGTGAGGTCAACTCTGATCTTGGACAAATAATACGACGTTCCATCTCTGATGACGCAGAGATAACTATTAGCATCCTGGTGACCGACAATAGATGAGGTATTATAATTATATCATTAGAGTTATAACTTTTGTCCTTGTTAGCATTCAGGTTCGTATCCAGTTTCAGGGTCACTTAGTTTCATCTTGGACCCATTACAACGTAAAACACTATTAATAGTAATGTTCCAATGGTATTTGTACTTGAAATCTTGACAAAAAGCTTCACAGAAGTAACCTTTTTATGGGGGGGGGGGGGGTGTAGTGGGGATGGAGGGTTGTAGGCATAGTGGGCTCGCGATAGACTGTTTACTTTAGAGGGGATAACGTCGAACAAACCATTTCATATACAATCCATTCGTTTTATTCGACAAAGTTGAAACCGCTTATAACTTGTCAATCCTATTAGGAGTAAAAAAATCATTTCCGGGCAGAGGTACTGAGCTTGATAGCAAATTACGTAGCTTATAGTTTTTTTCTGTTGTCAACNCGCGGAAATCATTTCCGGGCAGAGGTACTGAGCTTGATAGCAAATTACGTAGCTTATAGTTTTTTTTTTCTGTTGTCAGCCCAACTATCAGATGGATCAATCTCATCATTGACCATTGTCATTTTATTATCATTCATTTGGGTCCGTTGAGTTACCCGAAATTCGCTTTTCTAGCATTTCCTCGCCCTCGACATACATGTGGGCTTGTAGATTTAAGTATGGAAATATATCGTAGACTACTATACAATAAATTTCCATGATGTAAGCGTGCGGTCATTAAATTTTGAGTCCGATACAATTAGTTTGTAACAGACCACTGAAGAGTACGATTTCTCCAATTAGCGCGCTTACCTTCTTTTAAACTTATATGCCCAGCGAATATACTTGTGGTTATAAATTTTCTTTACTTCATGGCGGGACTTATTAATGATTAGGGTTATAACGGATTACCTTTGTTTTCTTAGAAAACAATTAATATCCAAAATTATGACATATTTTACTTTCTTGCGGAGGGTATCGATCATGGCGGTCTAACCGTTTAGTCGAGGGAGGTTTATTGCGCTGGGATGGGTATGGACGCATAAATAGGAAGGGGTACGACGGATGAAAAAATTCTATTGGTCATGTACGTGTATTACCATATGAGTAATGTCCGACTGCAAATATTGCATGATATCGACTTGTCACATGTTCGTTAGCTACAATGGAAATAATCTTAGGTGAAACTTTTTGTCGGGAATGCCAATTTAGAAAGCAATATAAAAGTGACGCACTGCTATGCAATAGTCGACAGAATTTGAGAAAAAGTCAGCATTCAATACTGCACCGCAATCGCCATCCTTCCATTATTTCTTACCTCAATCTCCTTCAAAACCCACGAAGTCGGGAGACGATGGTGTATATCAGTTGATTTCAATTATGATTTTTTTTCAGCTTTGATCTAACAGGATCGAACCAACTCCGAGGAGTTTCTCACTAGATTGCTTTCAGTTTAAGCGGCTTAGATGTCTGTCACGCCTACTGAGGCTGCTAAACGATAATTAATTACCCCCTAGCCCCTTGAGTAGGCGTGACAGACATCAAAGCCGCTTATGTCGATTGCAATTTAGCAAGGATCCCCTAGGATATAGTTCGATCCACAGTTAGTACGACAGGGTCTGGGAATGGTCCCTTAGATCCTTTTCCCATTTACAAAAGTAGGACATATACAAGACCAGTAACAGAATTACGAATATTAAACCCGTTTTCGATATCTTAGTTTCTACACTTTACTTTTACTCGTAGTTTTACGTCACGTAATGGAGATAATGATAGTTGAATTTAAGCCGTGACGGTAAAAAACAGTCATGTTTAGGATATATAAAAATAATTGCTGATTTTTTTTCTAAAGGATCCCAATGCGCATTGTATGGCTTTCAAAATATTGCTGGGGACCCTTATCCACGCGCTCAAATGTGTGTCTCTTTTTCCTGAATAATTCAAGCAAGCAAGTATTTTCTGTTAGTACCACTTTTTCCAATGAAATTTGCTGTTACACCCGAATTTCATTGAAAAAAGCGGGGTTGTTCCGTTACATATATGATGACTCGGCGACAAACGCTTCACTACTATAAAATTCAGTCGAAACCATAAAAAGCTTTAAACACCTTTGATGTGAGCAATGGTGTATCTAGGAGGTGACATGGAAGGTGTAGGGCACATGCCTAGAACGCAACTTGAAGGGGGTGCAATTTTGTGATGAAGTCATCATGATATTGAATGTCAAGCGTTGAGGCAGGGGTCGGCCTGGGACGAGATTTCAGTGCTTGTCAAATGTAATATGATCACTGAAGCATTTCATAAATAGCATGCAGACTTGAGGAATATTTTTTTTGTCATCAAAAAGCATGAGATTTGGCTGTAGGCTTATATGGACGGCAAACCGAAGTATTCCGTTAAAAAATTGTCATCCGAATCTGATTCACTGGGGGGTTCAATATAATATAAATGACTTTTCACCCAATTCTTGGGCGAATAAAACGTTTTGTTCGTCTAAGGCCGAATACACCCATGACACAGTTGCTCTAAATTTACGCAAGTTTTTTTTTTTTTTTAGCGCGTAACGTATACATGTTTGTTTAGTTCTGGTTCGATAAAGCCAATGACAAATACAAAAAGGTTAAATTTCTTTCAAAGAGACAATACAATGAATTGTGCGGCTAAAACATTTTTCCTCGTTATATATAAACATGTAGGCCCCTATACACGGTGCATTTCTATCTAGAGCATTGATATTACAAATCCGGCTTACGTTTTTGTCTATCACTAAATGCGCATTCCTCTCGAAAACGCCAAAAGTTTCTAATACAAATCCCATCTTTAAAGTAAAACGACATTAAAGCATTTTCTTAAAGTCAGTGCAAACAATATCAACATAAGGGTTGGTGCAAGTGTGAATGCTTTACTGGTTGTACACGTCTGTTCTTCTGAAGACATCCTGATTCGGCCTTCTAACCCTTGATATATCGGAGAGTACTTTTGGATAAAGTCCATTATGACATCTGAATCTAGATCGTCTGGAATCGTAAATTCAAAGAATAGCACCATTAGAAAAAACGAGAAATGGACAAGCAAACATTCATTTCATAATAAGACTTATATCCAAAATGACCATCCACTATCTAGTGACATATCTGTGAATATCTGTGAAAAATCTATCAGTCGCCCTGGTAGAGGGTAGGCATACTTCGTTTGTGCATATTACTAGAGTAAGAGTACGAAGGATATGCAGCGGGGGACCGTTATATATAGGGTTGCTGACATACGATTTTTACTTATAATGACTTATACCCAAAATGACCATATATCTATCTAGAGACATATCTGTAAATATCTGTAAAAAATCTATCAGTCGCCCTGGTAGAAGGTAAAGTATGCCCAGGGCAGGGTTTTACCGTTATAATTAGAGTAAAAGCTAACAAGCTGTCAATGGCAATTCATTCCTATGACAAACCTTCAAACTTAAAATATTACACAAGAAGTTTTTATAGTGGTATTTTAAATAAAAATCTTAACCTTTCCTTAAGAAGTAATAATTATTATTATAAAACGTTTTACCTGGTATTTTCCTTTTTTCTTTCTTTTAACCGAAAGCATAACATACTCAGGACCTACCTATTCCATAAGGAAATATAATATTGTCTTTTAAAACGTCATATGCATCTCCTCCTCCTATTAAGAAAGTGGTGGTGACCACATCGTATAATTTTGTCTTAACGAGAGGTTGGAACTCGGGGACTGTACAGTCAGCGCACCTGACGTTAATGCTGACCACTCGACTGCCCACTGGCTTAGACAGGTCATACACAACTCGAAGACCTGAAGATAAATACACATGTAATGACTCTTAAAGCTCAAAATAAACAGAAAGCAATATTTATTAAATATTAAATATGGACAAGAATGACACCGGTGGCAGATCCAGAAGTTGACGATTTGACAATTGGCAATACAATGGAAAATGCGCAGGTGACAGCTACCGGTACTTTGTTTTTGCTCTTATACGTTATTTGTTGACGAAAACTTTTTGACATGGTCTAAAACATGTAATATAGGACAACCATGAAAATGTGCTGAGTGTGCCTATACAAAACCGATTGTCTATTTAAATATGAGATGTCTTACCTGAAACCTGTAAGAAACGACCGCTTCTCTTCTCGTATTCAGAAACAGAATGTTCCATGAGTTCCCAAAGCGTACTTCCACTTATCCTGACGATGTCTACACCATTCCCGAATGGTGCGGCACTCAGTACGTCTGACACGTAAATGTCACCTGGCGAACCAAAAGTGAATTGTTTTATAACATGATGCTATTTGTGATGATATTTATCACAATTGTACAAAAAAAAAAAAAAAAAAAAA